ACCTTGAAATTCCTTCTCCAAAGACAACGAAAAGTCTCAGCCTCAACCACAGAAGAAAGAAAGGCCTTCCATCATTGATTCAGGCGACGAGAATTGAATTTTTATGCATGAAGTAGACTCTTCGTTCCGACTTCAGAACTGCTTGTTTCTTGGTTATGCTTGGTTGTGCAACAAACCCACCAAAATCTAAAATTTTAAGGCGACAAAATTGAGCGATTTCAAAATGGATTTAATAAAGTGGCAATTGAACTGAGTGGAGTGCAATTTTAGTCTGAAATCATACTTGTGATTTCAAATCGAACGAACGCGCAGCGCAAGTTCGATTTTGAAATCACTCGCGTATGATTTCAGACCAAATTAAATTGTACTCCACTCAGTTGAATTACCATTATTTATCAAAAATTGGTTAAGCTTAAATTTGGATCAGTTTTCCGAAGAAATGAAATCAAACTGCACATGATGAAGCTTTTGGTGGTTGAGTTCTCTGTCCTTCACAGCCTCTTCGGCAAAAGAAAAGAAGAATATGGAACCACACATTTCTTAAAAGCGAGAGTGGAGAAGAAAGCGAACAAACACCCCTGGCTTTGAGCTGTTTGAGATGCTCTTATTCAATAGCAGGTTTGTGGGTTACGTTTTCCTTTCCACTTTGTTATAAATTTGATGAGTTGCGCGTCCAAGGCTGAACTTGAACACATGAATGGCTTTCAAAAATGATCTCTGTCACTTTCGTTATTTGGTAAAATAAGCTTAAATGAGAGGAAGATTGAGGCCTAAAGGCAAATGTCACAAACGTAAGCTTATATTTGTGCACGATACAGTCTTTCCTTCGAGCGGCTGTTTCTTCGTGTTTCTTCAAGAGTTTAATTCACGATCGAGCGACGAGCGTTCGAGCAAAACTAAAACCCGGGAACTGAAATAATTCATCAGAGGCTACCAATGTTTGATAAAACTTCCTTTATTAAAGCTCAGAAAAACTATTACCTTTAACGTTGTTGGAACAGAAGGATTTCGTAAGTAAGACTTCACAAACAGAGATTTGTTAAAGCTCTCATGTTCAAGTGTTGTTAGCCGAAAGCATTTAAATGGTTTCCATGCCAGGAAAGTGTTACAAAGAAAGCTTGCGCTGAATTTTATTGTCGTCAAATCGCTAGAAAATTCTCCCTAAAATTTCCGCAATGCATTACTAATCTCAAAAGGTTGCTACAGAGCAGTTTGTTGTTTTTTTGGTCCGTCTCCGAGTGCCGGGTGCCTTTGTTCAACCAACTGATTCAACTCCTGTTCGCTTAAATTTGCAAATTTCTTTGGTGGAGGCCCGGCAAAAAACTTAAGCTCGAAATTTGGTAGCTCACAGGAATAATATCCCTCATTTCCGGAAGAAAGATCAGATTTATTTACATTTCAGGAGAAGAAAAATAGAAATTATGTTTTACAAAGTGTCAATATCGATGAAAAAATTGCCGAGAAAAAGACAGTACAAATAAACAAACTGACGTCAGCGTGCAACCCACGGGCAAATGGATCGAGCGGAACGCGCACCTCGCTAAGGGTCCGGACGCACTGGACTGACAAAATTTGTTTGGCCCTTCCAAAAATCTCGACAAATTTTGTCTCTGCCAAATTTTTAATTTATCAAGCGTGGGCGCACTGAATCACAGCAAAATATTTGTTAACCACAAGTGTCAATGACATGGAAATTAACACCATCGCTTGCGCGCTTTCAATTTGATTACATGTAGTCGTGAAACTTGCACTTGT